AGTAGTCTGTAAATGACAGAAATTTATTTCTCACAGTTCTGAAGACTGGAAATCTAAGATCAAGTTTCCAGCATGGTTGGGTGAGGGCCCTCTACTGGATTGCAGACTTCCTTGTTGTATCCTCACATGAAGAAGAGGCTAGAAATCTCTCTAGAGCTGCTTTTATAAGGTCATTAATTCCATCTGTGAGGGCTCTGCCCTCATGACCTAATCACCGCAAAGGTCCCACCTCCTAATATGATAGTATACTGGACGTTAGGATTTAACATATGAGTTTTCAGGGAGACAAAAACATTTAGCCCATAGCAGATACTAATCTTATTTTTTTTTCCTTTATAAGAGGGTTGACGTTTTTGTCTATCCAATGAAATTTTCTTTGCCTTTAAAGCCCAATACATTTATTAGGCTATGTCCTGGGGCCAGTTTTTCTTGGTACACAGGTTCAATATATAGATTCACATCTTTTAGTTCAAACAATTTTTTAAAATATGTTTTAAAGTATTAATTCTCTCTCATTGTTTTTCTTCCTTGGAAGCTTCAGCTATGCACATTCCTTTACCTGTCTTCTATATCCATCATTTAAGATTTATTTGTTTCCATTTCATTTGTTTGTTTTCCTCTATTTGTCAGACCCTTTACTAAACTTTCCATGTCACCATTTTCTTTCATTTTTGAAATAACTTTGTCCTTTTCTTTTCCTGAGTTCTGTCAATTTCTTTTTTCCTTTTCTGGTTTTCTAGCCATTACCTCTTATAGTCTGACTGTTATTCCAGGACTCTTGTACTTCTGCTTTGTAATCTTTCCTTATAGGTGCAAATAATAGGTGCAAAAAATTCTTATTGGGGCTTCCCTGGTGGCGCAGTGGTTGAGAGTCCACCTGCCGATGCAGGGGACACGGGTTCGTGCCCTGGTCCGGGAGGATCCCACATGCCGCAGAGCGGCTGGGCCCATAAGCCATGGCCGCTGAGCCAGCATGTCCGGAGCCTGTGCTCCGCAACGAGAGAGGCCACGACAGTGAGAGGCCCACATAACGCAAAAAAAAAAAAAAAAAACAAAACAAAACAAAACAAAAAAATTCTTATTGGAATAATGGATTATAATTATTTGCTATATAGTACAGAAGTATTTTAGTGAATGTTGCTTTGTATTGGAAATTTTCTGTATAATTTTTCATGTTTTTTCTTACACTATATTCCTATTTTTTGGTTTTTTGGTTGTCATATATAGATTAGAGCAAAATGTTCCTGGATGTGAGCATGGAATGGAATGGGGTGAGAGCAGGAATAGTTTCCCTGATTCACAACTCCCACTAGAATGGTATGGACACTGGTATAATATGGAAACTGATCAGTAAGAACAGATATTTCAGGGGGAATTCCCTGGAGGTCCAGTGGTTAGGACACAGCACTTTCACTGCTGTGGGACTGGGTTCAATCCCTGGTCGAGGAACTAAGATCAAAAAAAAAAAAAAAAGCTATCTCAGCCAACCATTTCAGTTTTTAAAATAAAAAAAAAAGTGTTCAGCAGTGAGTTTATATTGAAAATCAGCCCTGGGCTCAAAAATCTTTCCTTACAGTGTGCTACTTCTATGTCGGCATCCTTCCTTTGCCACTTGGAATCTAAGTTGGCTCTGGAGGGCTTCTTCCTCCAGCCCTGTATCTCCTCAGCTTATTCTCTCAGCTGCTGTTACTGAGGGACAGTAATCCACTCACTTTTAGAAAGTACATTATTACTGATGTTTTCTAAATACACTCTCCTCTGCACTCATCTCTGGCCAATTTCAAGTCTTGCTTCTGTCCCCAGCGCTCATGTCCAAATGTCTTTCAATGCTGTGTTCAGAGCACTTGCGTACAGTTCGGGACCCTCACCTCTTGGAGAGTAGATACGTATTTTGCTGTTGGTTTCTGGGATGGGCCTCTGCAGTGTCAGCACTCTCCAATCGTCCCAACTACTGCATCATGGCTGCCCTGGGGGCTTCCTGCCTGGCTCCGCTGGTCTCAGTTGCTTTTGGCAGCATGCACACATAATTTGAAATTTATGGGCTTTCTCTATCTCCTATTTTTAAGTGAAACTGGAGCTTGTGATTTTTTTGTTCTTTTTCTTTTCATTGTCTTGTTGCTCTATTTCCAAGAGAAGCAGAAAGATTCAGAATTGGGCTGCCACCATGCTCTTCCAGAATCATAATTAATATAATTATTTTTGTCATAGTGAAGATATGAAGGATATTCTCACTTAAGTCAGGTAAAGAATGGACTTTTCATGTGGAAATATGAGATTCTCTAAAAGACGGATCCCTGGGCAAAATATATTCCCCACTGGTGACTTTTCAAGATGTGCTCTGGACATAATTGAGAGAGCGCAGCTCGATAAACTTATTAGGTAAGCAAATCTATGCAGAGAGTCTGTCACACCCTGAGAAATAAAACTGGGTAGAGGAAAAAGATTCAGATTTACATGTTACAAAAATGCTGTTCTTTATTTTAATCGACAGAATTGAATTAGACTCCAGCATCAGCATGCATTTCCCATTGTTTTCTTTTTATATTAACTACAGGAGACTCATTAGAATTTCATGGATGTAATTGTTTCTGGGTTACATCCTCAATTAATGACTATAATTGAAAAATTGGATAGGATTTGGATAACGTGACTGTAATTTAAGTGTAAGACAGACGTCTGGGCCTCTATTTACAATGCATTTGTTATTTCTTTTCTTCTACTGTGGAGGAGTATTTACGAGAGGCAGAAATAAATGCATTTCAAACAGCAATGTCTCAATCAAAACAATGTGCATATTGTGTGCTGGGTACTGTCTTCTCGGGCTGTTTTGTGACTCTGCAGGCCTTAGCAGGATGCATATGCATAAAAAGAGCTTGTGCTCAGATCTTCTGGGAGGACTTGGGGGAGGAGAACAAGCTTCAACAAAGGGGAGGTGGAAGAGAAGGCTATCTCTGTCCTTCTTTATGTTCTGTTACAACACTGTTCAAAACCCAGCATCTCAGCCTGCACTTGCCAAGGATTCCTTAATCAGTTTTAGATTATGTCATGGGGAAAGAAAAAAGGACCACCTCCAAGCTCTTAATTATGGCTCTTCTCTGCTTTCCTCTCCTTATATTTCCCCCCAGAAGTAGATATTAACCTTATTAGCTTTTTTGAGCAGTGCATCACTGATTATCTATACACAAGCTTTGAGGCAGCTGCGAGGGGCAGCTGAACAATTACCCAGGGTTAGCCAGATTTGCTCCAGACTCTGGAAACACAGAAGTCTATAGACCAAAGCTCTTGGGTTCAAGGATGTCTGCTATTTCTTCATCCAAGGTCAAATGTGGACTGTGTAGCTCATTATGTGTCTTTCTCAATACTAATGACCTTTCTTTCTCTGTGGGTCTTATGATCTGGATGAAAGGGCAAAGACAGTATCAGGATTGAAGATGTGATGGATGAGCTGGAGAGGCCAAGATGTGTGGCTAGACTAAACCACCATGGAAAGAAAAGAGAAAGTGGGACAATGAATAGTAGGAATAGAGAGTTAGGAAACAGAGAGGATGGGAAGGGAGGGGCCCCTGATTCAGAGATGATTTATCAACAATGATAATAACTTGACACCTATGGTACCTCTTGTTGTGGCTCTCATGCTAATTTTGTGAGCCGAGGAGTATTTCCTAATATGTCATCTCTGCTTCAGAAACACAAAGGTGGGTGCTTGCTAGAATGCAGATTATCAGACCCTACCACAGTCCTATAGGAATCAGAATTTCTGGGTATGGTTCCAGGATACTTCATCTTTCCAAGATCCTAGGTGATTCTGATAGACGTTGGAGTTGAGAGCAACTGGGGAGGAGGCAGTGGAAAGCAGAAGGAATGACATGATGGTGATGGGCCAGAGAAGGTGGCTGGGAAGGTATGGACTGAGAGCAGACTCAACAGGCACATATTCAGTTCTTACAGAAGGGGGGCTGGTAATCAAGGGAGTTCAGTGTCTTCCTATAAGTTATGCATCTGATAAGTGGCAGAGCCATAGTTTATACTTCTAAGTCCAAGGCTCTTTCTTTGTACCAAACCTAAGTCAATACGGTTAGGAAAGTGTTAGAATTTGGATGGCAGGTTACGGGAAGAAGGCAACACGCCTTGGATCCAGGTCTCAAATTTATCTGTTGAGATAGGGACAATTTCAGGAAAATAGTGTGGAGGCAAAATATGTTCTATTTTTTTTGACCTCATATTCTAAACTCTTTTTTTTTTTGCATATTTCATGAATATTTGGGGGCATGGTTGCATATTAGATGTAAAGTTACACACTCAACTTATTCTTTTGTTAAATTGATGGCTTTTAAAATTTAGCATGGTTCTAGCTCATAATATTGTAAAACCAACATTTGATATATTAATTAAGGTGTTTTAGTACATATTAGCAAATACCCAACTAATAACTTCTTTTAAAACTCTATCTGTATAGTATTTAAAATCACCTTGCCAGCAGTACTACACAGAACTTTGGAAGTAATGAATTTATCAATTTTATCTTCTGCTCCAGACAGATGCCTCTTTCCATTGCCTTCCTGAGTCTTGCTGTCTTGCATGTCTGCATGATCTCAAATCATCACGTTTACCGGATTGGCTTGTTCAGCACTGCTTTCCCAGTGGCACAGCCTGGGTCACTCTCTCTCTTCAGTATCTTTTCTTGTCCCTCTCTGCATTTTGCCACTGAGCTGCTCCTCCAGCTTTCATTTCTGGCTGAACTTTACCCACGGAATTTGGATCTCTCTGCTTTTAGTGGTCATAACAAGCTCCCCTCTCTCTTCATCTATTGAATGTGACCATCTTTATGAATAGTCTTCAATCATAATGCCCCTTATTGACATGGTGTCAGTAAAATGTTTGATTGATAAATAAATTAATAAATGATTTCAGATCACTAAGTAATTAGATGGTTTTTAAGTGCCCAAATGACAGGCATTAAAAATGAACAAATAAATATAATACCAATACTGATTTCCTCTATGAAGAAAATAAAACAGAGTAAAGTATTAGAGAGACATGAAGGTTTTTACTCTCTATGTGGGATGGATAGGGAAGATCTTCTTGAGAGAGGAAGACTTGAATAATGAGAAAAAGTTCATTTAATGGTAGAAGAGTGTACAAGGGAGAGGTGTGCAAAGGCCCTGAGATGGGGATGAATTTGAAGCTCCGGTGGGAACAGAGAATAAGCCCCCATAGAGCAATAATAGGAGAGGTTAGAGAGGTAGGCAAAGGGAAGATTCTACTGACTTTTCTAGACCACAGCCAGGAGTATGATGTATATTCTAAGTGGAATGGAAGCCACTGGAGGAGGTTCCCAAGGGAGGAGCCTGATCTAGCCCCCCCATCCAGGTTCTGGGGAAACTGAACCTCTTCAGAGAAGCATTCTAGACATTTAAGCTAACCTAGTCCTTCTTTTTACAGTTGTAAAACAGACATAGTCATTCTCTGATGATTGTCTTTTGTATTAGGGTTCTCCAGAGAAACAGAACCAACAGGATGTGTGTGTGTGAGGAGAGAGAGAGATTTATTTTCAGGAATTGGCTCAGGTTATTATGGAGGCTCACAAGTCTAAAATTTGCAGGGTGGGCTGTTAGTCTGGAGACCCACAGAGTAGCCTAACCTACAGTTCAAGTCCAAAGGCCATCTGCTGCAGAAATCCCTCTTACTTGGGGGAGGTCAGTATTTTGTTCTATTCAGGTTTTCAACTGATTGAGTGAAGTCCACCCACATTCTGGAGGGCAGTCTGTTTTATTCAAAATCCTCTAGTTTAAATGTTAATCTCATTCAAGAGATCCTCACAGAAACAGCCAGAATAACATTTGGCTACATATCTGGGCACTATGGCCCAGTCAGATTGGTACATAAAATTAACCATCATGCTTTTCTTATAGGACAAGACAAAGGAAGAAACATTTTCCATTTTAAGAAGTAAGTCTGTATTTCATCACAGGTGGATTTGCATGTATACAATTTTGATGTTGCAGTAAATCAGCAACCATAGAATTAACAATCTCCTTCCAATAATTGTTATATTTATTAAAGTTTTTTCTGAAATAAATGTTAAAAGTATAGTAATCAGACTGGAAGAGTGAAATAAAGAACAATAGAACATAGACCAGGTCAGGATAAGAAGAACAGAAAGGAAAAGACTCATAGGAATTTACTGATGAGATTCCTTAGTAAAAGAGAGTAGAGACAGCTAGTAGGAACCTAAGTTTTGTTGATGCAGAATGGGATGATGAATATTTTTTTTTTCCAAGAGAAGCACTTCATGCAAATGAATAATGGAGGTGAGGCTTATCAGCATGCTGGAAGCTTACAATTATTCAAATTATGCAAAGCCACCAAATATGTGAAAATCAAAACAGAAAGAACCATTAATTCCCATTCTGTCCCCTAGCATTCTAGGGTTTTACCCACATTTGTGAAAGAAAGATACTTCAACCTTGAAATTAAACAGAGAACACAGTGTGGTGATTTAGTTACACATTCACTATTTAATTGTTTTAAAGGTGATCTAGGCAAATGTACAACATTGAAGTATGCATGTTTTTAGTGTGCAGTCCAATTCAATTCATGTCTTGCATGATGGATTTGGAGTTTCAGAGCATTCTAGTTAATAGAAAATGTGTTAATTAAGATCAGTTTAATAATGGTGTTTTTGGAGAATTAAAAACATGTTTGATTCAAGCACCACATTTCCATACTGGAAAGCTACAGTGCTTTGAAAATGAATATATTGGACATGACATATGTCCTTAACAAATCATCCTTCAAAAATTGGATTTCTGTATTTTCTAAGTTTGAATCCATCTGTCAATCCACAAAGGACCCCTCCCTTTCCTCTCTCCCAGCCGTCCCCTTCCTCTCCATACACCTGTGACATCAATAGCTTAAGACAGTGGCTGCCAACTAGAGTCCTGGAGACCCACTGGGGAGAGAGGCCCCAGAAAATGTTGGCTTTTTGTTGAACTGGAGAAGAAATTCACAGCATAAGCGTCCCTCTGTTAGTTCCCATTGAGCTGAGTCCCAATTATAATGTGGCCACAGGGACCCCTTCCTGTGTGTCCTAACAATGTCTCTTTTAAAGATGTCAGGAAAATGGCCTAATGGTAAGTTCCATCAGAAAAGAAATATCAGACTGAGGGGATCTGATAGTCTGGAAAATCCACTGCCACTAGCAAGCATTTATGTTCTGGGGCGAGCTACCAATCTTGTTGTGCTGATATTCTTTCATCTGTAAAATGGATACAACTATTGTTTATTGAGGTTGTACTATGTGCTATGTACTTTCATGCTTAATCTCTCTTAATCTTCATGATAACATTATGAAGTAGGCATGATTATACACTTACTTATCCCTTTGTAGAAGAGAAAACTGATGATTAGAGATGTCAGGTATTGACCAAGATTGCACAAGCATGGAGAAAAGATTTGAAAGCAAGCCCTCCTCAGTGCTTGATCTTAATTATTGCACTGATTTCCAGTATGCTACTTAGCACCTACCTCATAGTGTTGTTTCTGGGATGAATTTATTTAATGCATGTAAAACACATAGCACAAATACCTGAAAATAAAAGCTAGCTTCAGCATCCGGATACAACAGCAGCAACAACAAAGTCTTCTTAGGTAAACTTTTTACTAATCCCCTTCCAACATTCCCCTCACCTTTCTTCAGTGCTAATGAATTCAGAGACAGTACCATCTAATGGGTATCTGTTCATGTAATCAAGACCTTTTCATTATTCCCTAATTATTTTATGAAGAATATGTTCCTCTACAGTTCTGTTGTTTTATGTAGGGAGAGTCAAGGAGCAACAGGTTTTTGGTTAGAAGATCAGCATGGATTCTTAGCTCTTCCACTGGACTTTGAGGAAAAAAATCTAAGTTCAGTTTTCTTATTTCTGAAAAGGGAATAATGATACCTGTTCTTTGCTCCTGTCAGCTCTAGAATAAAATTCAAATTAAAGCAAGCATATGAAAGGCTTTATAAACGTCAATGTGCCATAGAAATATAAAGGTGGTGTTAGCAAGGGTTATGACATCTTCTGCTTCCCTTTCATTCATCCATTTTTGTGTGTCTATCAACATAAAAAGCAAGAATTTTTGACTTGCAAATTTTACTGTTAGACTGAACTGTTTTATGATACAATCAAAGGAGGATGCATTCACATTTTATTTTTATGTGAATAAATTAAGGACAATTGTTTTTCCCTTTTACTTTTTTTTCCCCCTTGTGGCAAATGAGCTCATCTGTTGATGTTTAGACCAAAGATTCAAATTTCCTTCTGGAAAGTATTTAGGCTATAAAAGCTCATGTGAGCTAATCAACCTGTGTGAGGTTGTTTGGTTTGTTTCAGATGGTGTTAGAGGTCGGCCCCCCTGAAGAAGACTTTGACACAGAGATTTGAATATAAGAAGGCTATTAGGAAACACTCTTGGGTTCAAAACCTGGAGTGAAAGAGAAGTAAATAGGATTGGGCAAAGGGAAAAGGTTACTTTAATCAAACTCAGAAAAGGTCTCAGCTGACCCCATGGGTAACTCTAACATGGGATGATCCTTCAGAGTTGCCCTGAACTGGGGAGGAGGGACTGAATCTTTGTACTCTCACAACAGCCAATCTTGGATGCAAAGCTTCCCCATGGAAGATGACATGGCTTAAGGTGAGTTGGCTTTCTTCAGACAAAAGCAATTCCCAGAAGAGACTGACAGCCAGGAGCACTTGCAGCTGCTGGGAGATCATGCCCTTTAGTTCTAAATGGGACCCTGTGTAGCATATTACAATATCTACTACAGATAGCAATGTACCTGCTTTACCAGATCTACTTAAGATTCTCATCAACACCTTCCTGGTGAATTATCATGCAGACTCAGGTAAGTCATTACCTTACGAGTATTTCTATCTAAGTTTAGACAGAAAATAATTCTTATTACATTATGCTGAACCTTATATTAAGCGGAAATCTGACACCAGATTCTTTAATGCTTGAAAAGAGAAGATTCTGAGGGAACTGTACTGAAGAGCTCGACTTAGCATTGGAACCAAGTGAGAATAGTACAATATTTGGAGCTCATAAATGTTTGCTGGAGGAAGAAAATGTTGGGTGAAATGGAGAATTTATGTAGCTAATGGCTATAACACCAATCTTTACTCACAGTCACAGTTTTCAGCCCCTGAGTAAGAATAATGCCTAATACTTCTTGAATATTCACTACATACTGGATACTGTTGTAAGTTCATTACATAAGTTAACTATATTAATATCACAATAACCCTATGGGATGGGCATTATAACCACATTTTACAAGTGAGAAAATAGGCTCAGAGAGATTAAAATGTATATCTAAAGTCACATGACCAGTAAGTAAGGAAAACCAGAACACTTACATCACATAAAGGGAATGGTAGTAAAGGAAATTTGCATCTCACATTTTAATCCTTACTCATTTTCCTAACCTTTTCTTCTTCTCTTTGCCATATGCATTAGTTTCCTAGGGCTTCCCTAACAATGTAGCACAACTTGTGTGATTTAAAACAACAGAAATTTATTCTCTCACTCTTCTGGAGGCCAGAAGTCTAAATTCAAGGTATTGGCAAAGTTGTTTTTTTTTCTAGAGAGCTCTGAGGGAAAGTCTGTTCCATGCCCTTAGCTTCTGATGTTACTAACAATCCTTTGCGTGAAGACATACCACTCCAGTCTCTATCTCCATCATCACACGGTATTCTACCTTCGTGTCTGTCTCTAATCGAATTAAGGCCACCTTAATAAAGAATGATCTAATCTTAATTACATCAGCAAAGGCATTGCTTCCAAATAAGATCACATTCACAGGTACCAGGGGTTGGGAATTCAACATATCTTTTTGGGGAATACAATTCAACCCATAATATCACATAATTGTCAAGAAGATTAATTCTCAGAGAACACAATAATTCAACCAATGAATATTTCTTATGTGCCTAGAATGTGTCTGGTATCATGTTAGCCACTGAAGGGAGAGTGATTAACAAGCAAACTCTCTACCATTCAGTCAAAATATTTATTAAGCATCTATTATTTATCAGGCACCGGTCCAAGAAGAGAGAATACAGTAATTAACAGGATAAAGTCTCTATTCATAAGGAGTTTATCTTCAAGTGAGACGAGATAGACAATAAACATATTAACAAATATGATAATTTATACCAACATGTGTTATGAAAAAATTAAAGTAGGAAAATATGAGGAAGAGTGACTGGGGAAGGGTGGGTAACTGTATCTAAAGAGTCAAGGAAGATCTTCCTGGGAGGGTAATGTTTGAGTTGAGAGCTGAGTGACTAGAAGAAAGTGGCCATGCAAAAATGTTGGAGCAGAGAATCCAAGCAGAGGCGCAGCCAAGGGTAAAGACGCTGGTTGGGAACAATGTAGAATGTTTAAGAAAGAAAAGGAAAGCCATTTCTCTAAAGTGTATGAACTAGGGAAACATGAAAAGAAACATGTTAGAGAAGTAAGTGGTTAAGGGGTTTGGCTTTTATCATCCTTTTCATAGGAAGTTACCTAGGGGCTTATTAAGGACAATATCTTAAATATAAGTTTTAGAAACAAAGCTCTGGCTGCATTCTGTAGGGTAGACTATAGAGGGATAAGAACAGAATCAGGAAGACCACTTAGGTGGCTACTAGATGAATCCAAACAAAAGATGGGAGGACCGTGGAGTAGGGTTGTAGCAGTGAAGTTGGTGAGAAAGAGTTTGAACAGAGATATATTTTACAATTAGAGAGGATGGACCCTTCTCATGAATTAGATGCAGGGTTTGAATAAAAACATAAATCAAGGATGATACCTCTTCATCAAAAAGCTTATGATATAATCGGTGGCATCACAGAAAGGGATAATTTTAATTCGTTGTGATAATTGCAAGAATAAGCCCAGATGGAATTCCCAAAATCATCTGGGAAAACTTGAAGGGAAGCTAGAGTTCCCTCAAGAGTTGTGGGGATGTATCTTTCATAGCTGATGTTTTGTCCTATTCTCATTTCAAAGGCTGGCTTGCCTTTGAGAAACAGGTTACAGATGGTTTTCTGCACAGAGAGAACCCATATCAGAACACAATGTTTTGATGAAGACTCCCATTTCATGTCTCCTGAAATGTAACTGAGTGTGTTTTACAGTATTGGGGAGCCATTTGATGAGTTGAGGGAGGGCTGGAACCAGAACATGAGATTGACCCTAGCTGTCTCTCTCTGACTCTAGGGGAACAAGACTTGAGGCAATGGGGTGTTGTTCTTGAAAAGAACCTCATGTGAGAACATAATGGGCAGACATAATTTATTTAAGGCCAGTCTCTCAAGATACTGTGGGTCTTTAGCCAGCACAATTCCTCTCAAAATGTATAATGGGCTCCCTCAGAGAGCACAAGAACTCAGGGTGGAATTTGAATGACTTCATAAGCTCCCAAATCCCATTTCCCTAGACAGCATCATCTGTATCAGTATATAACAAAACTATCAGTAGCATAACCTTAATAATTACAATTGCTGTGTATTTATCACATTAAGAGAGAAATATACTATTGCCAAACGGGTACAGAACTTCCTATAATACCTAAGCAGGTTGTAACTTTACACATACACTGCTTTGTGCTTACCTCACTTTATCTTTCCAATATTAAAGTTTAGTTTGACATTGCCCCAGGCTGTTAGCTTATCTTGCTGCTCTTCTAGGCTTCTGACTACTAATTTATGGGTTGTTTCTCTTGAGGATCTATCCCTTTACTGTATCTTCCCCACCATTGACCATCCTGTTGATTTGCTGCTGGGGTTCTATTTATTTCACCCCATCTGCATGGTAAGCTATTCCAACGTACATTTTGTTAGTCTCTGATTTAGTGGGTGGCTTCTGTGATATATTTGTCTGAAAATATGTTAAGTCTTTCAAACAAGCCATGATCTCTTAGAACTCTGCTTGAAATACCAATCATTACCACCATTTGGAATAGTAAGTTAACCTCACTATTGTGTGCTTTTCTATAAACATAAAACTTCTAAATAAAATACTCAGTGTAAATACTGACTAAAGTAAACTGTAAAGGAAATGTCTAAGAAAAAAAGATAAACTGGAACAAGATTTAAACAATTACAACTGGGTAAGCACCGATTAAAGTATTTACTTGACTCTCAACCATGTATATGTATTTGCATATATATCCACATATATGCATGTATATAAAATCAAACTTCTGATATTCTCTCAGAATTAATTTCTATATCCTAATTTTTACTCTTTAGGTTCATAAATCTTTCAGTGTTGTGCTAGAAGTTACTAGTATTTGAAAGCTTAATGCACATCTACTTTGGGCAGTCTTTTGTATAGATACTCAATCCTTAATTGAGTAAAAAGTAGTTAGCATTTTCACTATCTTAGTTCTTTCATTAAGCTTCTCAACTGACTACCTAAGGCCATCCTATTTTCATGTGATAAGGGAAACAAAAACAAATCTTTTTGTATCATTTTCTTCTAAGGCATACTGAGAAAAGGAAATTAATATGTATTGATTCTCCTTTCTTTTCTTAGGACTGATTTAAGAAAACTGTGAATTCTCACATTTGCCCATTTTGCTAATTTCTGCTTTTACACTCTACTTCTGAAAAATGGTCATTGACTTTTCTATAACATGTTTAAACTGCTGCCACTTAATTTTAAAGATGCTGAACTCTGCTGCCATGAAAGTTTTAACACATCCTGAGCAAATCACACTGCAACTATTTTAAGTGAAACCAGAGAATGGCTTACCCCAAAACAGTAACTAGTTTTCCCGGTGGAGATAATTATTCCTTTCAGTATAGTTCAGAATAAAAATCAAGACCATCAGTTTAGAGTATAAATAGAAATCTACTCTAGGTTCTCTAGGTTGTCCTAAGCCTTGGTGAGTGCAAGAATGAAAAAACAATCAAAATTAAGTGAAAAGAAATTCTAGGCAATATATTTTTTTAAGATGTGATAAGAAAAAACCTGAAAGCCCACTCTCAGACCTTACAATTTCTAAGAGTGAAAGGAATGTCAAAACAGCATGTATAGGAATTTTTTAAAAATCTGAATACTCAGGACTTACCTCTGTGAAACAGCTACTGACTTGTAGAATTTTGGAGGTGATGGTAGCCAATCAGAATAAGCAGATTTTTGTCAAATATCAGATTCCAACATTAAATACACAATCAAAATCAAAGTCAGGCATCAGCCCGCATGCCCCACATCTTTCCTGAAAAGCAAAAGATATGAACAGAAAGGATGACAACATGTTACCATGGGGAGGTCATCCAAAGAAATCATAACTAATTAAGCAAACACCATTAAAAATAAATTATTGTACTGTCACTGTGAACTTTCCTGTTATATTAGCTCCTAGATATTTTATTATTTCTAATCTCTTTCTGCAGGTACTGATGCTTTTTGATAGTAAGTGAGAGCAAACCAAGAAAAAATGCACATTGTTCATTAAGTCATCTCGTAAGTCTTTCAAGAACGCTATTTGAGAAATGTTGATTTCCACATTGCTATACCCTTTGGCACACTGAGATGTATTAACTGGTGAGTAGTACATAAAATAAAACATCAACATTCTAAGTTTCATATTCATGACAGCTAATGAGGATTAACGTAGTGGTCTTTTTTATAGATACATGTTTTGGAAAATGTCTCTCTATATATCATTAGTGTATAATGGCATCATTTAGAAATTTAGAGAAAAACATAGCAATTTTATCTTACTTAAAATATTCTTCTGAAGGGATTCACTTTCAAGTAATTCAATGTTCCTGAGTGCTGGTGACATTATCTTTTCAATAATGATTAGACAAAAATGAAATCATTGTATCATGGAAAAATTTATTGCAAGTTGTATATAAAATCATTTCCCTCTGTTGCAGATTTTATCTTTCCTTTGGAATTACTCTGAGGTGAACCATTACAAATGATTATTGAGGGATATAATTAAAGTTGTGCTGCCTTCTGATGTTTGGGGGCATTAAATACCCCTGGTTCTTTTGATGTTTTTTGTAACTTATATTTCTTTCAAAGCTTAGGTAGCTTAATTTATATGACTAGGTGACAGTGTACTTCTTCTTATATGTCATAGAAAACTGATGAAAAGATGAGAATATATGGCTCATCATGATGATACTCAGGTATAAAGAAGTATTAGATAAAATGTAGAGTAATTGGGGAAAAGATTTATGTCTTGTGCCAGTCATAGGAATGTTAAAAATAGCTTTACTTTCTAACATTGAAAAAGAGAATGTTTAGTATCTATTTTCTTCCTTATATTTACCTGTACCATACATCAGTACATGCGCGCATTCATTAAACTAAATGTGGGCTTTTATTTTGTAAATCAAGAAAATAGAAGCAGTTTCTATAGAGGAATAGAGAGGAAAATGAATGGAGGGGACCAGCATAGCTTTTGTTCCTTCAAACTCTCTGCTTTTGTTATTGTTTTTGATTACTTAGTGTTAGAGAAGCTATTTTGATGAGAGATTTTGGAAATTCATGTATAGCATATTTTGTTTTGGGATCCAGATGACAAAAGCTAGCAAAAAATTTTGGAGAAGGCAATTCTTACCACATATACCAAACATTCTACAATGTTGTTGCTTCGATAACATTGACAGGTAGCCTTCTTTGTGCCAATGTTCTTGTAAGGGGTAGCAGCAATGAAAAGGCTCTTCAAATGACTTGTTGTGTATCACTCTTCAAAAGGAAGATCCAGAGCAAAAGCAGAATGTGATGGGTATCACGTATGCACTGTAGCTGATAGTTTGGGTTGCAAACACACTTATATGTTGGGGGAATGTCCTAGAAAACATGTGGGAATCATAAAGAGCCTGGTGGTTCTGCGTGAATAAGTGAGGGTATTTTATAGGAATATTGGTTTATTGATTTTATTGTAGGTTTATTTGTACTCATCAGATAAAGTGGCTTAATATTTGGGGGTTGTACATTTTATCCTATCTTAGTTTTAATCTCTGGATTAAAGTCAGAATAAAGTGTAGATCCCAAAATATTGTGTTAGGATACTTTGTGTTAGCTGTCTCAGTGATGTGTGATATAAAGGTTTGTTTCTCACTTAGGGGAAATCTGATGCAGGTCAGATGTCTTCCATTTTGAGTTATGCTCCGTGGAGGCCATGATTACCATGTTCACTGCAACAGAGGGAGGAATAGAAGAGGCAACCCACTCCTGGTACCAAAATCTGTATTAGTCAGCCTTCTCTAGAGAAACAGAATCAGTAGGACATAGATAGATTGATGGATTGATACATGTCTATCTATCTATCTATCTATCTATCTATCTATGTGTCTATCTATCATCTATCATCAAGAGATTTATCATAAGGAATGGCTCACATGATTATGGAGGTGAGCAGATCCAAAGATTTGTATGATAAATTAGCAAGCTGGGACCAGGAGAGCCAATAGTTTAGTTCCAGTCCAAAGGCAGGAAAAAAAATGATGTCACAGTTTGAAGGCAGTTAGGCAGGAAGAATTCTCTCTCACTTGGGGGAGGGCAGCCTTTTTGTTCTATTCAAGCTTTCAATTGATTAAATGAGGCCCACTCACATTAGGGAGAGCAATCTGCTTTACTCAGTCTATCTACCAATTTAAATGTTAATCTCATCCAAAACATCCTCACAGAAACACCCAGAACAATGTTTGACCAAATATCTGGGCACCTTGTGGCCTAGTCAAGTTGTCACATAAAGTTAACCTCAAGTTTACACCTTGCAATTGGGCACCCATACAAATCTCCTTAAGCCATACTTAACCTTCAAATAAAGATAATACCAAGGTCATCACTCTACCTAAAATGATACAACTATCCTGTGTATAATAGAAAACTCACTAACTACTTTCCCAGAAGAGGAAGTGAAGCTCTTGAGTAATGTTTACTCTTTTTGATATCCTGCATTTAAATATGATGTACAGTTAACAGTACTTAAATACTATGATATAAAATCAAACAATCAACATATTATTTTACGTTACAAGGGAATAAGAAAGGGAAGAAAACAGACATTTGCTTAAAATTATACACACACACAAACTATCTGTTACAGTCTTAACAAAATAAGGAGGAAATACTTATGACAATTATAGTCCTTGGTGAGCCCTAAACATCTCCAGTATGATAGCTGAAGTTTGAAAAGTGAAAAGCACATATACAAGTCAAGTTTTGTACCAAAGCTTCAAAGTCAAACAGACGTTTGTACTTTTGGACCATATGAAGCAGTTTTATTTGAGTATCAATTCTATGTTCTTTGCCTAAGTGAAAAAAAAAAAGATTTTTATGTCTCAGTTCTGGATGACTCTTCTATTGATTTTTTGCTTCCCACACTGATGATATAGCCACATTGGCTATTTCCTTAGGGAATCTCAGACATTTTCACTATAGAGTCTGCATTAATCAAATATGAAGTTATCCAGGTTATTCAGTAAGAAACGAAAGTCCACAGTAGATTCTATCATCTTGTAGTCATTTTTGAGGTGTAGACAAGCCTCTTCACCAACTATTCCTCTTCTCGTAAAAGTACATTTTTGGGATTCAAAAAACAAAAAAATTGTACCACATGGACTTATTCCTCTGTTTACCCACAAAGTATGGTGCTCCTATGTCATCTTCTCATCCAAAGTATCCATCATACAGAAATAAAATTGTAAGAAACAGGTCTACTTCTACCCTTAAAGACTCTTCCTTCCATGAGTCTTGCTCTCTATCCAAGACTAAGCTAAATACCAGGTATGCTTAAAGGTTTCTTGTTTATCCTCCTCTCAAACAAAACACAACTATATAAAAAATTATTATTATAACTATAGTAATAATAATTCTTATTTTACTGAAAAGCCACAGTTGAGAAAAAATGGATGAAAACCCAGAAGAAAGGAGAAAGGAAGGAGAACAATCAGAAGCATGCTGCCAAAGGAACACAAATTAACGAGCTGATTTTACTACCAATTACTCAAGTGATTTCCTAGATCTTTATTTACTTTTTTATTCTCCAGTAGTTTGATTGCAGCAGTTACCTTCTAGTGTGGCTCTCTTTATATGATACTTAAAAATTTGATAGATTTAGTCAACTAATAAGAATACTAAATTTACGTTTGTCATCATATGACTAGAACAACAAATATTCTCTGGATTAATATTTTTCTACTAAGTTCTCTTGGAATCAAGGACACATGGCTTGACCCAATTAATATACAAAACAAAGTTCTCTCTATCACAACTTATTCCAATAGATGTGTTCAGTGGGGGGTATTAAGCAAGTCACCTGGTTCTTATTTAAATAATATTCTTCAGTTAAGCAAACCCAGGGTTATACACTTTATGATAAAGATTTCTTCAGCATGCAGAAGGGTGTACAGAGTGTGTATACATCTGTGTGTTGGCATATGTATTTGTGTGTATGGATTCTGATGCAAAACAAGATTTAAAATTAATTCGAGATGGGACACAATCAAATCTCCAATTCAGTTTTGTAGTGTTCCTGATCAGCTTTTTTCTTTTTTTTTTGACTCAGCGCCTTACCTTTAGACTTTGTTCTGAAAGAATATGGTCACTATCACTACTTTGTGACAATACAGATTTTCAGTCAACATGTTTGCAGTATGAACATTTCTTCTCATACTGTACTTATCTGCTTTGATGTTTCTGACTCTTTCCTTACATAGGATTTCTTGTGTTATTTTCTTCTCCCAGATCAAAGAAATGTCACAAAGCCCAGGGATTTCATATCTTAGTGTACAGAAAATTCAAGGGTATGAAGTTTAGGAAGATTTAAAAGAAACATCTGAGTAATGCAACTCTGATAGCCAGGTGTTACTTGCAGCTTTATATTATCATATAGGGATGATAGAATTAAGATGAGGTCTGGGAATCACAATACATTTTTTTTTGGTACAAAATACAGTTTACAAAGAACATTCATATATATCATATATATTCATATATATTTATATATATACATATAAAATATATAAATATATTCATACATATTTACAGCAACTCTAAAGAAAGGTGGAGCAGATATTATCTTAATTTCACCAACCATAAAATCAGGAGCCAAAGAATTTTTGAAAACTAATATTTTAACAGTGGGACAATGATTAGAAACTATCTAATCTAGTGTATGTCAAACAATGCTAGTCCAAGTTTATACAGCTGGTAAGGGGTAAAACTAGGACTCTGGTATTCCCAGCCGAAGTTCTTGAGTAAGAATTGAGATTCAAAAGCTGGAGAAACCAGATATATAGATGAGATCCAAAAGACTAGAGTGAGACCATAGGCAGGCAATGGAGCCAGTGGTCAGAGTGATTGAGTAATAAGACTAGAGTAGTTTGAACAGGCAGAAGACTCCTAGGTCATTATTGGAAAGTGATGGGGGGCTATGAATTGGAAGTGTGCTACGTCAATCATCATGTTGGTATAAAAGCACAGAATCAGAAGAGACGATGTCTCCATAGAATTTCTGGACTGTGAAAGAAAGAACTTGGTCATCAGATTCACTAGTCAAATCAATGTTTGATCCAGACTGA